AGTCCAGCCTTCTTTTTATCTTTCTAGAGTTAGTTTTGCCCTTTTGAGCTTTGTAAAAGAGAGTTATGCCTGAAAACGTTTCACTTTCTTATTGTTTATTCTGGCTAGAACTACCAGTTTTGTATTGTGAAAAATTATGAAGTCCTCACCAGTCTGAGGCAAGAAAAGAACTTACTTGGGAGATATTCCTCACCCAAATTCACAATCGTTTGTTTAGAAATCAATAACTTGGGGCGCAAGTTATCTATTTCAAAAGGTTTGCTAGGATTTTTCATTGCTAGCAGTGGCACGCTCGCACACTAAAGAAAGTTGACTTGTTGACCAGTTAATGGTTTTCAAGGCAATGAGGAACTTTACCCTACCATCACAGGAGACAAATCAAAACGGGTGAACATCCTTTCAACAAGAAACATTCGGACTAAGAAAAAATAGAATCCCTTATAAAGGAATTGAACAAATTAGTTTAGCAGGAAATATATTAAATTTAGATCGTGTAGACCCACAAGATTGGGAAAAAATTATATAAAGATGGGAAAAAGGATGTGTACATGCAGCATTAATGTTAGATTTTAATAATAATACAGATATGTTAGATTACTTTGAGCATACTTTAGATATAGATGCTTTTGTTAAATTAATCAAATCCTAGAGAACAACAAGCAGCAAAAGAAATGTTTAATATAGATGCTTTTGTTAAATTAATCAAATATGAATTTTTAGATCATAATAGATTAGATGGTAGTAATGAACAAGAACAAATTAGAGCCATAAGAAATTTAGAAAAATTACAAATTTGTGATTTACAATATATTAGTGAATATACTTCAGACTTTTTTTTAAGTATTTAGGAAGAACATGAAGAATTGATGATCTTAATTTATTAGATACTTATATGACAAAAATTAAAGGCTCAATAGGAGAAAGAATTTGGAATGAATGGCAAAAACACCCTAGGAAACTAGATGTATCCATAGGAGCAAGAATTCAACATGTATATAATATATTACGATCAGAATGTAGTCAAATAAAAGCAAAAAGACAAATTAGAAAACAATTTTATATGAGTTGTAAAAATATAGATTTACCTAAACAATACGGATGTCATAGAAAATTTAGATAGAAAAATCCATATAAAAAGAGTTATAGAAAATATAGACCTTATAAACAACCATATAAATTTTTTAGAATTCAACCTTCAAAAACCTTTAGAAAAAGAAAATATATCCCTAAACAATTTAGGAAAAGAACAAATAAACCATGCATTAGAAAATATAAAGTACCTAATAAAAGTACATGTAAATGTTATCTTTGTGGTGAAGTAGGACATATTAGACCTAAGTGTCCAAAGTTTGGAAAACAACCTAGAGAAAAAATACAATTAATTGAGCAATTTCAACGAGATGATGATGAAGACTTAGAATCAATTTATAGTCTTGATGATAATTTAAGTGATAATGAAAGTATTTATAGTGTTAATGCCTTAGACTCAGAGTCAGAATCAGATTACTCTAGTAATTCTGATAGTGAATTAGATGAATATATGTGTATGTTTGAAGAACAAACAGAGCATGAGGAATTTAAATATGTTAATTTAGGATGGCCTCAAGAATGTAATCAATGTAAGAAAATAGTAGCAGAAAAATATTACACTAAAACAATAGTTTATTGTAAACCTTATTTTAGTAATAGACCAATAGAACTTGTTTTATTGTAAACAAGAGCACATAGCTAAAAAATTATTAGAATTTCCAGATAAACAAGAGGATAAAAAGAAATTGCAAGCATTTTTAGGTTTATTAAATTATGCTAGAAGTTTTATCCCTGATTTAGGAAGAAAGATTGTAGCATTGCATAGTAAAACTAGTAAAACAGGTCAAAAATATTTTAATAGTGAAGATATTAAATTAGTTAAAAGCATTAAACAAGATATAACTCAACTTAGACCTTTAGCATTACCATTAGATAATAATTACAAAATAGTTGAGACAGACGCATAATCAATAGGATGGGCAGGAATATTATATCAAAAGAAACATAAGGAAGAACCAAAATCTGAAGAAAAAGTTTGTAGATATGCATCAGGAAAATTTAATGATATACAGGCTAGACTTCCAGCTACTGACTTAGAAATATTAGGAGTCATTAACTCCCTTGAAGCATTTTCATTGTTTTTTACATAATGAGATATTTACTATTAGAACAGATTGTCAGAATATTGTTTCTCATTATAATAAAATTACTACTAATAAACAAGCAGCCCGAAGATGGGTCAATTTGTTGATTCTATTATAGAAAATGGATTTAGACCGATATTTGAGCATATTAAAGGTATGGATAATACTCTAGCAGATATCTTATCTCGTATTATTCATTAACAGGTATGCAATAATTTGGACCATCATCCTCTGGCAGCATAAATAGTCAAGCACGATCAATAGTAAATACTTATTTTTATAATGGAATTCCAATACAAGATGTTAGAAATCCTGCTTTAAAATATCGTACTCAAGCATCAAAGGAAGGATTAAAAAGGGCTTTATGAATTTGGTTGTTTTTATATATAATTTATGCAAGTAAAATATAAATTGACTCATGGATTTGAGGAGAGAACTATATGTGGCTTGATCCCTTGGTAAGGGATGTAGGCAACTTAGAATTACTACGTGCAGCCACGAGACCGAGTGATTGTAAAGCTATTCAGATAAATTATAATGAAATCTGTTAACATATTCATGTTCCCAAAGTTGGGACCAGTTTTAGTTGGCAGAAGGATTTATTTGATTTAAAGAGGCCTGAGGCCAAAAAGATTTAAAGAGGCAGAAGGATTTATTGTGTATGTTGAACGATGGTGGTTATAAATTGCTTTTCGTACAGGTGTAAAATTTTTGGGAAACGAGTATTTACAAGGGAGACTCTGTTGAATTTTCAGCAGAAGTCAAACTCGAGGTTAACTTCGGTTTTGTTAGAAGGGCAATTTGGTCAAGTGTGCCCGGCACCTGCCAAGTGTCGAACACGCACAAGGTTCAACTCGGATTCCAAAGTGGAATTTGGGTCGGGTCCTATCAAGTTCTATCCTTTAGCCGATCAAAATATGAAGATGGAGGAGTTTCTTCAACTTGAACAGGGCAGTATGACGGTACTAGAATATGAAAAGAAATTTAATGAGTTGTCCAAGTATTGCACACCACTAGTGGCAGACGAGAGGAAGAAATGTAAGCTGTTTACTGGGGGCTTGAAGGCATCCATCTGTGATATTGTGGTAGTACAATGCCTAGTAAATGTTGGTTATCTGGTGATGTCTGCTTTCGTTGATTGAGAGCAATCAGATGATGGTGCAGGGACGAGGTGATTCCCCCCAGCGTCAGTATGATGTGGGTGGTCCTAGTTAGGGGTCATCCAAGAGGGGGTAGTTTCAGCTTCAGATCGTCTACTGGCCATAGTTATGGAGGTTTCGAGCTGGAGTCAGTTATAGCAGTGGGTCTATGTAAGACCCGTGTCTTGGGGAAACAAGAACAGTGAGCAATCCCACATCACTCGGGGAGGGAAAGGTGAAGTGCTTTAAATGTATGGGCACTTCTCTTCCTAGCACGAGGCCTTTTGGGAGCTCACTGGCTTCGGAGTCATGGGAACTCCGAAGTTAAGCGAGTTGGGGGCCAGAGTAATCCCAGGATGGGTGACCCACTGGGAAGTTGGTCGTGAGCTCCTAGAAACAAAACCGTGAGGGCAGAGGGGGGGGCCCAAAGCGGACAATATCGTGATAGGGGAGTCGGGTCGTGACAGTCTAACCAATGGTAGTTATTAACACCTTTCTGGTGGCGATACAGCCAGAGGCTCAGAGAGACAGTCGCCCCCAGTGTGCCTTGTGCAACAGATATCATACTGGGCCTTGTCAACAGGGTGCCTCAGGGTGTTATCATTGTGGACAGTCGAGGCATTTTCAGAGGGAGTGCTCGATGCTATTGCAAGGTAGAGAAATCACTGCTGGGCCAACCTAGGGTAGTGGCGCATAGAGCTGAGTGCATGGTACATCTCAGTTTATGGGAGCTTCATCCAGCAGTGGGGTCCAGACTGGTACGACTAGCAGAGGAGGAAGTCCAGAGCAATCGACCGGGTGTATAATATGACTCAGTAGGAGGCACATGTGTCACCAGACGTCATCATAGGTATGCTACCTATCATTGGAATTCCTGCATGTGTCTTGATCGAGCTTGGGGCTACACATTCTTTTGTTGCACATAGTTTTGCCCATAATGCGGATGTGAGGAACTTGCTATCTCTGTACCCACGGGAGATGTTTTTATGGTTGGTGCGGTGTACAAGGATAGTTTGGTTTTAGTAGGAGAAGTATTCTTGGAGGCAGACCTAATCCTTTTGGATATTGTAGATCTGGACGTCATTCTGGGCATGGATTGGTTAGCCAAACATCAAGCTTTGGTTGATTGTTTCCAGAAGGAGGTTGTATTCTGTGGTCCCGGACGACTTGAGGTGACTTTCTATGGGGAGTGAAGAGTTCTTCCATCTTGCCTCATTTCAGCTATGACGGCGAGACGGTTACTTAGATAGGGATGCTCAGGATACTTGGCTTATGTGATTGACACACGAGATAATGTGTTGCGGTTGGAAGATATTCCGGTGGTACGGGAGTTCCTAGATGTGTTCCCAAAAGATCTTCTTGGATTACCTCCTGAAAGGGAGATTGAATTCACTGTTGAACTCGTTTCAGAAACGAATCCTATTTCTCAGGCACCATACAAAATGGCATCAGCTGAATTGAGAGAGTTGAAAACTCCGTTGCCGGAGTTGGTGGACACCTCTCACTCGTTTGACAAGGAAATGAGTTAAGTTTGAATGGACAGATGAGTGTGAAGAAAGCTTCAATGAACTCAAAACCAGGAACTGCTCCGGTATTGACACTTCCTGATGATAGTGGGAATTTTGTCATCTACAGTGATGCATCATGACAGGGGTTAGGTTGTGTGTTGATGCAACATGGTAAGGTAATGGCGTATGCTTGTAGGCAACTCAAGAAGCATGAGTTGAACTACCCTACGCATGATTTGGAACTTGCCGCAGTGGTGTTCGCCCTAACGATTTGGTGACATTATCTTTACGGGGAAACGTGTCAAATTTTCACGGATTATAAAAGTTTAAAGTATTTGTTCACCTAGAAGGAACTGAACTTGAAACAGAGGAGGTGGTTAGAATTGATAAAGGACTATGACTGCACCATTGAACATCATCCTGGGAGAGCTAATGTTGTGGCTGCTGCTATTAGCAGGAAATCGTCTGGATCCTTGGCTCATCTTCGAGGGAAATATCTTCCATTGTTGGTTGAGTTTAGGAAGTTGAGAGTTGGGTTAAGTTTGGAAGATCAGGGAGCTTTACTTGCTACTCTCTACATAGGATCGGTGTTAGTGGAACGAATTGTTGAAGCTCAAATGCAGGATCCATTAATTTGCACGTTAAGGTTGGAAGTCGAGAATGGTACAAGAACAGATTATTCAGTGAGGAATGATGGAGCCTTAATGGTAGGAAGAAGATTGTATGTTCGTGGGGATGAAGCACTAAAGAGAGAAATTCTTGAGGAGGCCTATTGTTCGGACTTCGCCATGCTTCCTCGCAACACAAAGATGTACCGTACCCTAAGGGAGCATTATTGGTGGCCTATTATGAAGAAGGAAATAGCAGAGTATGTCAGCGTTTGATATGTCAATAGGTCAAGGCTGAACGGCAGAAACCATCGGGGTTGCTGCAACCACTTCCGATCCCAGAGTGGAA